GAGGAGGAGGAGGAGGAGGAGGCGGAGGCGGAGGCGGAGGCGGAGGCGGAGGCAGAGGAGGAGAAGGAGGAGGAGGAGGAGGAGCAGGAGGAGGAGGAGGAGGGAGGAGGAGGAGGTGCCGATGCCGCTGCTCTTGCGCCTCGTTGTCGCCTCTTTGGACCTCATGGGAGGCCCTCGTTGCCACGGCCGGGTTTGCCTCGCGGGTCTGTTCAGAAGGCATCCCAGGGGAGGTGCGGGGAGCAGCGGTGTGAGTCCAGCCTCTGGGTGATGAGTACGAGGAGGCGCCTCCCCCGCCAGCCTGTGCCAGCAGTAGCAGTGTGAATGACAGTGACAGTCGTGAGATATTAGCTAGCAGACTCCCGATGTTGGCAAGTAGTCAAAGGTTATCAGCATTTGTAGCAGCATTTTAACACATGAATTAATTAGCTCGGGCAGTAAGTAGGCCCCCAGCTAGTCTTCCAGAAGGTTTCGCAGCGACATCAGTATGCCTTCGAATCGTGGCCGAGGCGGCCGCACCCAAGGGAGGGGGGGGCGGGGGGCGAGCTCTGGTGGGCGGGGGAAAGGACGTGGTCGCCGCGCCTGATGTATGGGCCCCCTTCTGAGGGCTGCGTGCCTATAGGGGCGCCCATCGGCCAGTGCAGTCTGTGCTGTGAGCCTGAGAGGGGCTCGCATCGGTAGTCGTCTGGTTTCGAAGGAACCATCTCAGAGTCAGTCAAGTATATTCGGGCTCGTAGTCGGTTGCTTGACAGGGACTCCATGATAATCTGATCTACTCTGCTGCTGCTGCTGCTCCTCCTCCTCCTCCTCTCCTCCTAATTCGGTGCTCCGAGCTTTCGCGGGCGCGCGCCGTGCCCTGCTGCCCCGAGAGACTCTCGCCGCGGAAAAAAACACTGCTCGCCCAGAGCTGATTGCAGTCGAGACCTCACGAAAGGATCATGTTCCGCAACAGGGCGAAATGCTAAGAGCGAGTCCGAACCGAGCGACTTGCATCGAGAGGGGCGGGCCGAAAAACCGACGACGACAACGACGGCGGATTCCGACGAACGCGATCGCGGTTCCAGCTGTGGGCCACCATGTTAGATATCCGCCTGGGTGGCCCAGACATGTGCAAACACGTGGTTACAGCTCGGGACCACCATGTTAGATACGCCAGTGGGAATCCTGGAAACTCACCCGCCGAAGGAACTGTGTCAGGTTATTACACATCTTGTGTCGTTTTACTCCCAACCCTTCTGCGTTGGGTATTCGTTTTGAATCGAGCACTGCGCGCGCGTCTTCTCCGCCTCCCGCCTCCCTTGTCCTCTCCTCTTCTTCCCTGCCTCGCACCTCACTCCTTCATGCGTGCCAGCTTGCCTCCTACCTGGCCATCGCTGGGGGGCCGCGATCCGTGCAATTGTCGCCACTTTCGAGAGCTGCTGGGGGGGGGTCCAGCGAAGTGACGTCTTACCCAGACTCTGATGAGACCTCGCCATCCCTGTGGGGCTGCGATCTGCGAAACCGTTGCCACTTTCGAGGGTTGCTGGGGGCCCACAGGTCCCACGGGTTCCACAGGTCGCACGGGCGCCACGGTCCCGCAGGTCGTACAGGTTGCCCAGTTCCCGCGGTTCCCACACGTCCCACAAGTCCCACATGCCCCACAGGTGCCCCAGGTCCCACAGGTCCCACAAGTCACACGGGCGCCACAGGTCCCGCAGGTCGTACAGGCCGCAGAACGGCAACCCGCAGATAACACAACATTCCCCATCTTGACCCTCGTATGTTTAATCCACGGGGTTGAATGTGGCTCAATTGCCACAACAGGCGGGGAGGCCAAACTATAGTTTCCCCTTCAAAGTTCCTATCGTAGCTCTGCGACCATTACTAATCCCATCCTAACATCGATATTTCGCCTGGACCTCGAACTTTCTTATCCCGCCTGGACCCCGAACTTTCTCATCCCCAGGGGATTATTCCCTACCTAGGCTCTGCCTAGAAGGGTTCTTACTCTCTTAGCTTAAAGGGGCCGGGCAGTGCACAGCGCCCCGGGCGGTTCCCCCAGTCCCCGCCCCGCGGTTCCCCCAGTCCCCTGGGAGCTTTAGCTTTAGCTTTGCTTTAGCTTTAGCTTAGCTTTAGCTTAACTTTAGCTTAGCTTTAGCTTAGCTTTAGCTTAGCTTTAGCTTAGCTTTAGCTTAGCTTTAGCTTAGCTTTAGATTAGCTTTAGCTTAACTTTAACTTTAGCTTAGCTTTAGCTTAGCTTTAGCTTAGCTTTAGCTTAGCTTTAGCTTAGCTTTACCTCAAGCTTTAGCTTAAGCTTCAGCTTAGCTTTGGCTTAGCGTTAGCTTAACGTTAGCTTAGCTTTAGCTTAGCTTAGCTTTAGCTTAGCTTTAGTTTAGCTTTAGCTTAGCTTTAGCTTAGCTTTAGCTTAGCTTTAGCTTAGCTTTAGCTTAGCTTTAGCTTAGCTTTCGCTTAGCTTTAGCTTAGCCTTACTGTTACTACTAATGCTGCTTTCCTAGGAGCTCCAACTCCTAGGTAGGGTCGCACTGGGATAATTCTCACATGTCCCGCAAGTCCCACAAACTCCACAAGTTCCACATGTCCCACATGTCTCACAGGTCTCAGGGGCACCTGGGGTCCCACAGGTCTCGCAGGTCGCACACGCCCCATAGGTCACACAGGCCCCATCTGTCCGACAGGTCCCCCAGGTCGCTCGAATTCGACAGTCCCCACTTGCCCCCCACACATATGTCCCACAGGCTCCACAGGTTCCACAGGTTCCACAGGTTCCTCAGGCCCCAAAGGTTCCACCTGTCGCGCAGGTCCCATAGGTCCCGCAGGTCTCACTTATCCTGCGGGCCACACGGGTCCCACAGATCCGTTGTTGCTATTAGGGCACTTTGCTTGGGTAATGAATGCTTCCCTCAAAATGGATTCAGAGAATGGGCACGAATGCTGGGAGCAGTCCTGCTCATTCTTAACAGGACTCGCTGTCGGTGTCGCTGCGGACGTTGCCCATTTGAGGCAAACTAGCGCCTGCCCTGCCCTGCAGGCGGCCGCTGTCGGTTTTGGACATGGCTTGCCGTTGGGAATCGTACCAATCTTGGTCCGTGCCCATCTCTTCGTGCGTGCCATGAGGAGATGCGCGCGTGCGGGCTGGAACCGAACCAGGTCACGTGCTCCATCCTCCTGAAGAGCATCCAGCGCTCGTCCAGGGCCTTCGACGTGGAGCGGACGCTCGCGATCCTTGACGCCACGAGCGAGGGCATGGACGAGGCCTGGCGGCCTGCACAGGGGGCTGGCGCGAGGGGGGCGGTCTTATAAGAAGGCGGGGTAGCCTTCTTGGATCATTGGTCTGTGGGGCACAGTGCACGGAAACTGCGTGTTCGAACCATGCATCATACACGGAACACTCTTGGAATTTCTTTGCACGGCATTTGGCGCAGAGGCAATTCCTTCAGACGAGGCATCTGCTGAGGTGGCCAAGCTGCTCTCTTAGACGCGGGGCGAAAAGCTGAAACTATGGTTTCTTACGTTGCATCAGAGGTGGTGCGTTTGGTGCGTGCGTTTGGACCCAGGCGGCAGGCGCCTGGGGACCGAGTTTGAGCTGCCGGTGCCGCAACCCGCCCTACTCCGATTGGAAGGCAGGACCTGCTTAGAAGGGCCCGCGGGCCTTTGGTAAGGCTTCGAAGATCAAATGGGAAAAAAAACGCCATAATCAGGAACTTTTGGCGCTCCGAGCGAATTTCTTGGATCCGCGCTGGGCCCCCCTGGCGGCGTCTCCGGCGCCGCCCCTGGCGCGCTCGGGTCCAGCGCAGATCCAAGAAATCCGCGCGGAGCACGAAGTTCATGTGTATGCCGTTCTTTTTTCTTTGATGAGCACGGCCCGTGGGCCTCTGAGAAGGCTTCGAAGAAACCCCAGCCCTCGGATGGAAGCTTCAGTCTCTCCCGCGCTGGACTTTCTCAGTGCAGGACTCCCGGAAGTCCCGACCCCTTCCTCGGTAGGGCGCGAGTTCATGGGGGGCGATAAGTGGGGGGGGGAAGAGAGGTGCCCTTTTCGCCCTCAAGGCCTTCTTCTGGGCCCCATGGGCCCCTTTTGGGGCCCTGAAGGGCTCCTTTTCGGCAGCCCTCGCTGCCGCCCCCCCCATCTATGGCCCCACCAGAGAATTCGCGTCCAACTCAGGCCTGGCTTCTCGTCGTCCGAGTCGTCCTCCGACGGTCCCCGGGGCACGGCGAGGGACACCCTGCAGGCCGCAGAGAGAACGGCGGAGCTTCCGCCCTGTTTTTTACCACTTCGTCGGAGGTCTGGGCTCCAGGAAGTCTGCGGTTCAGGACTCGGGCATCTGGCGGCCGTTCGGGACGATCCGCGGACACCCTTCGCGAACGCTTCCGCGGCGAGGCGCAGCCGCTGGAAAGTGCACCCCGAGGCGACACAGCCCCCAAAGAGCAGGCGAAGGCGTCCGAAGACCACCGTTGCGCGTCGACTAGAATTCAGTAACCTGTATATATCCGATCATCATCCCCACTGGCCCATGGTATCTCAGCCTCGTCAATAGGCCCCGCGAAGCCTGCAGAGAACAGCATGTGGGGCCAAGGCCACAACGTTGGGGATTCTTATCGGACGAACGAGGCTCAAGAACGGCCAGATCTCACAGGTCCTTGACTTCTGTCCCGGTCCGGTTTTGTTTCAGTCCCGGCTCAGGAGGACCAGCGAGGAGGTTCGGCGGCGCGCCCAGGGGGGATGGCAGAAGGGGGTGGTCGTTCTCAGAAGGCTCAGAGAGCGTCTGGCCTTCCGACAAGCATTCGATGACTTCGCTGAGGCCACATGGGGACTGGTCAGAAGGCGCGACGGCTTCTGAGAGGCCTCCCGCCTTCTGACCCTGAGATGCGACGTCGCGAAAAAGTAGCAACATCGTGAAGATAGCACGACCAGACCCCTGGACCCCCATTTTTCTGCTAGAGTCAGGTCGATCTGTGAGGGTCCTGGGGACCGAAACCAGGCGAAAACGCCGGGCTCGATCAAGCATTGAGACACCAGTATCTCAGGGTTATGCGCGCCAGCCAGCGAGGTGCTGCTCTCGTCGGTCTGCGAGGCGTGCATCCGCTCCAACCGCGCCGACCTGCTGGCCAGCCAGCTGCGGAGGCAGCGCGCGCAGCGGCAAGTGCTGCTCCGCGGCGCCCACACGTTCGGCAGCGTCATTCGCGCATACGGCTTCGTCGGGGACCTCCAGGACAAGTTTTTTGTTTGTTTCGCGCGTGTGTATATGTATATGTATATGTATATATATAGATACATACACACTGGATTGCGTGTATAATAACACTATATATACTGGGTCGCGTATGTATATACATGTACTTATAACATATATGGACAGTTTTCACAACGTTATGCAGAGCCCTGAGGTGAGAGTGCCGCACTTCCCGAATGCCAGCCCGTGCTCTCCGCTGGCATCTGTGCACAAGTGCATGAGTGAGGCCGCTCGATGAGTTTTGGCGCGTGGCTTGCACAGGAGTCTCTGCACACCGTATCGCAGGGGGCGCTCCTTTGGGCTGCGAGGGCAGAGTGCCCGCCTTGCACCTGCAAGCCTTCCTTGGTGTGCGGCGCAGGTCAGGAGGCCCAGCGGCTGGATTGTCCAACGTCGGCGGGGGCCTGGCCGTTGTCGGCCGTGCTGCTGGCCCTGGTCTTGGGGATCGGGGCAGGCGCGGCCCTGGGACGACTGCTCGTGCCGCCGGTGCCGATCCAGACGACCAGCCGCCTTGACAAGCTCGAGGAGGAGGCCCGTGCTCAAGTTGCCCTTGTGAGGGCTCGACTGCATAGCCAGTGACGCGATGTCCGCAGCGGCCGCGGCCGCCGCAGGCCATCCCCTTGCGGCTCGTGGGCTTGGCGAGGGCGACTTCGTGCTGATCAGGTATCAGGTGGGAGGAGCTCGGATCTGGCACGAGCGCCTCCTCTTGGCGTTCCAGGCCACTCCCCCGTTTGGCACGGGCATCCTGACGCCCGACGGTCGCGGTTACGTCGAGGCCATCACCACCGGCGGCATCGACGTGGCGGACTTCTGCGTCCCCGCGGGCGGAGCGGCAGGGGGCGCCTCGGCAGCGACAGGTGGCGACCAGGTGTACCGCTTTCGGGCGTTGCCGCTGCCTGCCGCCGTAGCGGACGCCGCCAGCTCCACCCGAGCGTCGCTTGGCCTGGCTCCAGGCCCTCCCGTGGCCCTGAACACCGCCGGTCGCCTCATCGGCGCCGCCGGCGCGGCAACGGCCACTCCCGCCGGAGGGGGCGGTGCTGGCGGCCCAGCGGCTGGAGGCCTGGCGGGACTCGCGGCAGCGCTCGGAGGAGGAGCCCCTGGGGCCGGAGAAGCCGCTGCCGGTGGAGGTGCCGTCGGTGCCTTGGTGCCCGTCGCCGCGCCCGCGGCGGCCTTGCCTGGAGGCGCCTTGGCTCCGATGGCCGTGGCACCAGCGGCTGGGGCCCCTCAGGCAGCGGTCCCTGCTGTTGGCGCAGCCGCCGCCGCCGCCGCCCCGCCTGCCGCCCTTGCCGGAGCGCCCGAGGCTCCTTTCCTGGGCGCGGGCGGCCTGGCGAACGCTCTCGCAGCTGTCGCGGCAGCCCCAGGCGGGGACGCGAGGATGCAAGCAGTCACCCTGGACCCGCAGGGCGTTCGCTACATCGACTTCAGGGCGGCGGTGCTGCGCATGCACGAGCTGCCGTGGGCCGACTGGCCGTTCAAGGGGCCTCGTACTCTGCTGTGGGTGCTGAGTTACATCAGCCGCAATGGAGGAACGCCCCTCGGCCGACATCTGAAGTGGAAGGCCGATGCATGCCTCGACGAGGGGAATCCCGGGGTGGACGTGCACCTCCTGTGCTGCAGGTTGCTCGAGTACGGCGTGGTCTACGATCAAGTTCACGCGACGAACCTGGCCCCCATGGAGCTGGTCGGGCGCACTCTGCAGACCCAGGAGGAGCTCTACCGTGACAGGTTTGCGCCGTCGTCTGAGCACGGCAATGACGCGGCCTTGCTGTCTGGCGTCCAGGACGCGGGCGGCAGCGTCTGCATGGCCCCAGCGCTGCGCGACTGGCTGGCGGCCGAGTAGTCTCGTGAGGCGGCCACCGCCAAGGAAAGGCGTAAAGCTCGGGAGAAGCGAGCGCTGGCAGCTGGGACTGGCTCCGCGGGTTCGGGCGGCGCCGACTGGCGCGGCGGCCGCGGCAGTGGCGGCCGAGGCCGCGGGCGTCGAGGCCGTGGGGGCGGCGGTGCCCCAAGCGGGGATTCCTGAGACGATCCAGGGGGGGGCGCATGGGCCAGCCTCTCCCTGGGACAGCAGTGCGGTTCAGACCGCAGGCCCCCGGCCACTTGGGACTTGTCGCCAGCGCGACGTCTTCCCGCTGCCGGTCTCGCAGGCTGCAGCTCCGCGTGGGGTGGAGTCTGTCGGCCGCCGCTCAGCTCGGCGCCGTGGTTTTCGTGCGCGTCGTGAAGATCGCGTGCGGGCCGCCACTGATGCACTGAATTCACTTTATGGCTTCGAGTCCTCGCCCCTTGCTCCGGCGCGCCAGGGGCAGCGCCAGGCCATCATGCACATCGAGAGCAGCAGCAGGGAGTTGGGCGCACCGCCGCCCGAGTTCGCCAACGTTCGTGCTGCTCAAGACGGAGACCCTTCGAGAGCTCCTCTCCTGCGCCAACCTGTGCGGGTCTGGCGCCGCCTCGCCATCTCCCTACGTCAGTGACCGTGTCGCATGGCCCGCTGGTAGTGCTGCGCCCGTCGACCTGATCGACCTCGTGCAGCCCCAGGACAGGGCGTGGCTGGAGGGGTGGCGGAGCCATATGCTCCGAGATCAGCACGCCGCCGAGGCCCTGGCGCAGTCGGCCTGCCCGCGCGGGCCCAACTGCGACCCGGGCCTTGTTCGTGACGAGAGTATCTACGGCCAGTTCTTGATGCAGATGTACCAGAGGCAGATGGCCACTTTCGCGGCAGATAATGGCATGCCGCGCTCCATCGGTCGGCCTCTTTTTCGTCACCAAGAAGTCGGGGGCCCTCAGAATCATTTTCGATACGAGGGCCGCCCACTGCAAGTTTTTGGATTCACCTGCTACCAGGCTGCCTTCGGCCGCTTCTTTCAGCTCTATCGAGGCCCCCGTCGACGGCATGTTCATCTCAACGTGCGACCTGGAGTGCGCATTCTACAGCATGCGGCTTCCTTGCGGGATGGAGTCGATGTTTACCCTACCCTCGATCTCAGTGGCCATGCTGCAGGAGATGGGCTTAATCGACCTTTACTTCGGCCCGCCCACACGCGTGACGCCCATGGTGACTGTCCTCCCGATGGGGTTCTCGTGCGCCCTGCACTTCTGTCGGTAAGCTGCGCGCGCAGTCCTAGCTGCTAACGGCCATGAGAGGGCCATGGCCGCCCTAGATGGCCAGCCTGGCGTGGTGGTCACGGGCCCCGTGTCGGTTGGCGTCGGCGCCTACGTCGACAACATCTTCGCGGTCGGCGCCGACAAGGGCGCGGTCGACCAGGTCATGGGGCAGCTCGTGGCCGCCTTTCGCGCCCGAGGGCTGCCAGTGCACGAGATCGAGCCCGCCGCCCAGGACGCGGAGTTCTTGGGCCTCAGCCTGAAGCGCGGGAGGTACCTGCGCACCAAGCCGCGCAACATCTGGCGGCTGTACGCAGCGATCTCAGGGCTCCTTCGTCGGGGTTGGTGCAGTGACCTCATGATGCGAGCTGTGTTGGGGCACGTCGCATGGTCATCCATGGTACGCCGCGAAGCCCTCGCAGTGCTCCGCAGCGTCTACAGCTTCGTGGCGGCGTACGGCGAGAGACAGGGGAGGTTATGGGCCTCAGCGGCGAAGGAGCTGATCACCATTCGGGATTTGCTGCCCCTCATGTCCTGCGACCTCGCCTCCGTCCTGGCACCGCGCGATGACTGCTAGCGATGCTTCGCCTTTCGGGCTCGGGGTGATGCGGCGCCGCGCACCTCGCGCCGTCTGTGCCGCCATGGGCCGTTGCTCAGAGAGGTGGAGGTTTAAAGTTGAAGGCGGGCACCAGGCGCGCATTCGTTCGCTGCGAGAGGTTGGCCTAGACCAGCCCCGACCTGTGTCAGAACATGTTGACATTGCTCACGGGCGCTCTACCTCGGTGCGCTTGAAGCCAGACGTCCAGCATGACAGCCCCTCGGGCCTCCATGCAAGTTCGCCTCTTTCGGATGCATTTGATGCCCGTCGTGATCCACCGGGCCATCACGGGGACCCTTATGGGGAGCTCATGGGCCCGCACGAGGACCCCAAGGAGGAGCTCACGGGCCACTACGAGGACCCCCGCGACTCCATGGGCCAGCACGGGGACCCCTACGAGGAGCTCATGGGTTTCAACGAGGTGCTCGAGCAGCCTCCCAGTGGCGCTACATGGGCTCATCCTGATGCAGTCTTGGGCGACCCCTGGGAGATGGACGAGGTCCCGGGTCATATTACTCGGGAGGATGCTTGGAGCTCGGTATCAGCCCAGTCGGTGTCTACGGGGGCCAACATGCTCTACTTGGAAGGGGAGGCTTTGGTCACGTCCTATCGGCATCAGCTCCGCACTTTGGGCTCTCATGGGGCACGCCTGGTTGCGCTCGTCGACGACCTCCCGCTGGCTCTCGCCCGCGCGAAGGGAAGGGCTCGGCCCCTCCATTTGAGGTCGTGCTTGAATCAGTTGTGCGCACTGTCGCTTGCCACGGGCTCGAGGCTCTTTGTGCGCTGGAGCGCCTCAGAGCGCAACCCAGCTGATGCCCTCAGCCGAGGGAAGCTCGGCTGGTTCAACGGCCATCGTCATCTCAGTCATGCGAGGACTCGCCATGGGCGCCGTGGTGCTCGTGCTGCTGCTCGCGGGCCTCCGCGAGGCGCAGGGCATGCCTCGGCCGACGGGGCCCGCGCCCCCAGCCGGGGCTCGCCACCGCGCGAAGCTGGCGTCTACAGCGGTGCGCAGGCGGACGCTGGTGGGCTCCACGACGCCCCTGGAGCACCAGGCGGTGCGGCCGACCACGAAGGCCCTCTATCAACTTCCTCTGCAGACATTCATCACGCACGGCTTGGACCGCCACCGGGACTGGGGCAACCTGTGCGAGTTAGACGTCCTGTTCGGCGAGTACTTCACCTCTCGGGACATCTGGGGGGCGACGACGAGAGTGTCAAGCCGCAGACGGTTGTGGCGCTGGCGTACTTCTTTCCCGTGCTCCCGAGGCAGGTGAGCCCGCCCCTGCCCCGCACCTCACTCGCGAGGCATGTGTGGCGGAGGCGGGCCCCAACCCTCACTCGGCTGCTGATTCGTCGTGCGGTCATGCTGGCGCTGGCGGGATTCCTGAGTGCCTGGCAACAGGCGCCTGTGGCAGCTTGGCCCGCGATCGCGATCCCGGCGCACCTCGGGCCCGCCGTGGCCCAGTGGCTCACGACCGACAGCATCCTCCAGCCGTCAGCTCTGGCGGGTTTGCCTTGCCAGTCGTGGGGCTTGCCGCTGCACCCGACGGGCCGCGGCCAGGCGGGCAAGGCGGGCCTCTACGTCGTTTCCATCCTCTTCGACCCCGACCTGTACCTGGTGCCGGTCTTCATCCCCGCCAGCCTTGCGCCCGCCGTCCTGTCCGAGCCGGACAGCAAGCCCAGGCAAGAGGGACGGCCTGTTGCCAGCTGCGCCTGAGCGCGGCCGGCCTTGCCGGCCGCGCCGCTGGCGCCTGCGCCGGGCGGGCCCAGCCGCCATCGCGGGGCTCGCAGCGTGCCGATCACCTGCGGCGACGCCTCAGATCTGCTGTCAGCCGTGGCTCCCTGTGCCGGCGGCGCGTCGTGCTGGAGCTCTTCAGCGGCAGCGGGCATTTCGCAGCTGCCGCCCGGCGCCTCGGGCTCTCGTCACTTGGCTTGGACGTGCGCCAGTCGCCCCTGGAAGACCTCCTCTGCCGCGACGTCGAGCGGGTGGTGACCGGCTGGCTCCGCAGCCGCGCAGTCGCGGCGGTCTTCCTCGGAACGCCGTGTACGACGTGGTCGCGGGCCCTCCGCAAGCCGCTCAGGACGCGCTCCCAGACTATGGGCATCAGCGACCTCTCGACCTCTGAAGCCGCGAGACTAGCCGCAGGCAGCGCTTCTTTTTACTTCGCATGCCGTATCATCCGTTTATGCTGCGCGCTTAACATACCAGTACTGCTTGAGAATCCCTCCATCTCTTTAATGTGGTACGCCAAGCCTCTTGCGTCCCTCATTATCCCGAAGTGCGCTCGTGTATGTGTTTTTGACCAGTGCCAATTCGGGACCTCCTGGCAGAAACGCACCAGGATTGCGGCTTGGCTGACAGGACCCCTCGTCGGCCTTGATCGGCTCTGCGAGGGCCGCAGGGGGATTTGTTCTCGCATTGGCAACAGACATGCAATCCTCACTGGCCAGGCCCCTGAGGGCTGTAAATGCACCGCATTGGCTGCCGCCTATCCCGCCAGGCTGTGCACGGTGTTGGCTCGAATTGTCAGAGACGCGGTATTGCAGAGGCCTAGGCAGGCCATGGCTGATTTAATAAGCAAGTCGCCTTCCTAAATACATCGAGCTGCCTTTTAAAATTTTCGGCCCTGTCGCTACCGCTCCCTGGCCAGTACTTCCTGCTGGTGTGGGACCTCATCTGTGTGAGCCTCGCCTGTTGCACGTCTGTCGGTGGTCAATGCCTGTGCCTCTCGTTTCCGGCAGTATATTCTGCCGGCGCCTGGCTCGTGCTTCACGCATATGATGAAGAAGAAGAAGAAGCGTGTCGCCCGTCGTCTGTCACGTCGGGCGCTGCCATCATCATTGCAGTTCTGGCACTCGTGGAATCGGGGCGGGCTGGGCAGTTTTCACAACGTTATGCAGAGCCCTGAGGTGAGAGTGCCGCACTTCCCGAATGCCAGCCCGTGCTCTCTCCGCTGGCTTCTGTGCTCAAGTGCACCCACCCGCATGCCGCCCTCACTTGAATCCTTGATAATTTCGTCCTTTTGCGGGACCTCATCTGTATGAGCCTCGCCTGTTGCACGTCTGTCGGTGGTCAATGCCTGTACCTCTCGTTTCCGGCAGTATATTATGCCGGCGCCTGGCTCGTGCTTCACACATATGATCAAGAAGAAAAAGCGTGTTGCCCGTCGTCTGTCACGTCGGGCGCTGCCATCATCATTGCAGTTCTGGCACTCGTGGAATCGGGGCGGGCTCTCTCTGTCTCTCTCTCTCTCTATATATATATATATATCTATGTATATATATACACATATACACATACATATGTATATATATATATATATAAGTACACGTGTGTATGCATCTGTATATATGTATATCTCTATATATGCATATATGTTTCCAGCCTGGACCCCTCGCAGTGTATCTCTAGCAGTTTATGTATTTCAGTGCATGCAGAGCAATAGCTATTGTACCATATATGCGGTGCAACCTATGTTGTGCAATACATGCTCTGCAGTATATGTGGTGCAATCGACGTGGTGCAATTAGTTTTTGAATAACTTGGAGTTGTCAACTCCAATGCTCGCGCCATCATCCTACCCGTCCACCCGCAGCCTGGTTTGCCAAATCCATGCGGCGGCGATGGCGACGAGTGCTCGGTGCTGCCCAGTGCATCTCTGAGGCCGCGCTAGCCCGCGCATGCTCGCGCGCACAGCGGCCAGCTACCGCTGTTGGTGTAGAAAATGCCCATCCACAGACGTTGCTTCGACGGTGCCGCCCCCAGACCCCCCATTTCAATCTCTTGGGGCTCTTGGGGCCTCAGGGGCTCGTGTCTCGATGGCTTGGGGGCCTCTGTCAGGACCTCGAGTGATCAGGGCCGGGGGCGGTCAGGGATAGCTACAGTGGAAGCCCATGCCAAGAAACACCCTGCTTGCCTCCAGGGTGCCCTGGGTTTGTTGGGTCTCGATGGTTTTGCTGTGGAGAGCGCGACGCTCCCACACCCAGAATCCATGGACGTCCTGAGGTCTCAGGGTTGGGTTTCTTGTGGAAGGTTTCTTGTGGACTGGCACATCCCGGAAAACTCGGGCGTCCAGCTTTTTGGAATCATCAGGGCTGGGGGCAGTCAAGGGTAAGTACGGATTCGAGCCTCGGGGGCCCAAACGGAGTTACCCTGCACCGCAGTTATCCCGGACAACTCGGGCGTCCAGCCCTCCCGAGTCGTCAGGGCTGGGGGCAGTCAGGGGGTAAGTACGGATTCGAGCCTCGGGGGCCCAAACGGAGTTACCCCGCACCGCAGTTATCCCGGATAACTCGGGCGTCTAGCCCTCCCGAGTCGTCAGGGCTGGGGGCAGTCAGGGGGTAACTACATATTCGCGCCTCGGGAGCCCAAACCAGAGTTACCCAGGACAGCAGTTGTCCTGGATAATTCGGCGTCCACTTCTGGGCGCTCCTGGCCCGACGAAGGCCTTCTGAGACGCCCTCTTCGCCACGGCTGGATTCTCCCCGAGATCCTGGCCAGAACGCGCCCTCGCAGACGTTCGGGGGTCGACTGTCGGCTGGGGGGGGTTCAGCGCCGATCCGAGCAAGCTGTCGACTCCTGCTGCCTCGATCCGGCGGTCATAAGCGGCTCGGTACCTCCATGGCGCCTTTCGTCATCGAGCACAGAAGCACCCTCAGCCCTAATACAGCACGATGAAGACGCGGCCCCACTGAGGCCCGCGTCTTCGCACGAGGGATCATAGATCTGGGCGGCTTGACCTGATGTACCTCTGTTGAAAAGACCCCCCATATCTCTAGTGTTCTTGGCCCCCTCTACCTCAGGTCGCCTGGGTTAGAGGGTGCCTTTCTGGTCAATCCTTTCGTACCCCCTGGCGTGGCCGAGTCTGACTCGGCCCGAGTCCGACTCCGTGCCGCTGCGGCCCGCTGCGGCCCGCGCACAGACGTGAGCCGATGGCGAAGGCCCTGTAGCCTACGGCTGGCGCTGCCGACCCAGAAGGACGACGACGACGATGAAAGCGATGACGACGACGACAACGACGAGCTGACGATCCTGCCACAGGCGCGGGACATGGGGCGGGCGGTGGAGGGAGGAGGTGGAGGAGGAGGAGGAGGAGGAGGAGGAGGAGGTGGAGGAGGAGGAGGAGGAGGAGTAGGAGAAGGGGGAGGGGGAGGTGGAGGGGGAGGAGGAGGGGGAGGAGAAGGAGGAGGAGGAGGCGGAGGAGGAGGAGGAGTATCCGATTTCCCGACTTGATGGTCACCCTCCAGGGCGTGTGGGACACGTGGAACGACATGCGTGCGCGCGGCATCCTGCCGACGAGCATCACCATGGGGTGTATGGTCGAGGCGCTCGTCGTAAACGACGGCCCCGACGCGGGGTACGCCCTCATCCGCAAGGCCCTCGCGGACGCTCAGATGCGCCCGCTGGTCAACGTCATCATCTACAACTCCGTGCTGAAGGGCTTCGCGCAGAAGAAGCAGTTCGAGCAGGCGCTCGAAGGATAATCAACTGCATAAACATGCACATCTAGAGGTCCGCGTGGATTTCTCGGATCAGCGCTGGGGCCCCCCTGGCAGCGCCTCCGGCGCTGTCCCTGGTGCGCGGAGCGCGCCAAGAAGGGGGTCCCAGCACCCATCCAAGAAAGAGGGGGGAGCCCCGAAGGTTGATGTTTATTCAGTTTCTTCTTCCCTTACAGGTGTGGAACGTGCACCGCGAGATGCTTGAGGAGGGGCTGCAGCTCACCGTCACCACCTACAACACTCTGGTCGACGCGTGCGCCAGGAGCCGCGACATGGCGCGCATCCCGGCGCTGCTGGCGGAGATGCAGAAGCTGAAGGTCGAGCCTAACGTCATCACCTACAGCACGATCCTGAAGGGCTACTGCCAGGAGAACCGCCTGGACAAGGCCTTCCAGCTGCTGGATGAGATGAAGGGCACCAAGGACTCTGCTGCTGGGGTTGACCAACACGTTGTACTGGCAGTCTAGTGTATCGTTTTCGTTTTCTCTCAGGTTGCGTCATGTTTTCACTCCAGGGCCCACCAGTGGCCATTCGCGAATTCGGCTTTGCGCCCAGGCCCTGTTTTGGGCTATCGGCTGGAACGAAAACGAAATGGAAACGGAAACGCGCTGTTTGGGTCGGCGGCCCCTGCTCGACGCCGCGGATTCAAGCCACATCCGCCGATGTGCAGACGGTGCCGCCGAAGACCCCGCGGAGCGCAGGACTGGTACACCGGGAGGGGAAGCGACATCGTGCACATCTGTTTGCGGAGCTCCGTGCGGCTTTTTCGGCTCGGCGCTGATTATGCGCCAGGGTCGGCGCTGGAGGCGCCGCCAGGTGGGCTCCAGCGCCGATCCTTCTTCTAGATGTCTCCTGACTCTGCTGCTCCTCCTCCTCCGCCTCTTCAGAAGAAGGGCCCCAGCGCCACCCAGTCGGAGCCCACAGACGCAGGAGCACCTCATGTAACGCTTGATCCTCCTCCTCCTCCTTTTGCTCTGGAGTTCACGTCCAGCCAAGTCCATGGCCTAGGTGATCTGGGCAAGGCCGCCTGCCCTCTTTGAGCCGCTGTGCCTGACCCGCCTCCTTCTCTTTCTCGCTCGATGGAGCCTGTCGTGCTCCTGTCGTCCTTGCTGCCCCGCTTGCTCGGTCTCAGAGTTGGAGCTTGACAGGCGTGTGCGCATCCCTCCCCTCCTCTTCACCTCCTCCCTTCCGCTCCCCCCCCCTCCCTCTCCCCCTCGCCGCCGTCCCTTCCCCCCCCTCTCCCCCCCTCCCCCTCGCTTCCCTCCCCCCCCCCTCCCCCGCTCCTCCCTGGCCTCGCTCCGCTGCGCTCCGCCGGCGCCGGGTGGGCCAGGGCCCCCCCGTTTCCGAGAGCGGTCCGCCGCGCGCAGAGGGGGGGCGGGGGGAGGGGGGGAGGGCTCCTCGGCAGCACCCCTTGTGCCCCTCGGGAGGCGCGGGCCTCGCCTCTGGCCGTAGGGCCGGCGCCCTCTCGGCAGCAGCCCCCTTCTCAGAAGCCCCCGCCCCCTCCCTCCACCCCCCCCCGGGGTGCGCGCCGCCGAGGCGGGGCGCGCCTCCGTGCGGCGCCCCGCGAGCTCCCCAGGGGGCGCGCCTCGCGATGGCTGTGGGTGTGGCGGAGCGGCAGGCTCGCGTCGTGCCGGCGCTGCTGTGAAGTCGGGCGTGTCCCTCTGCAGGAGGCATATTCAAAAGTACAGTCGGGGCGCTGAAGAAGGAGCCCTTGTCGTTGGGGAGGGGCTCGGTGTTCCTCGATTGTTTTTCGGCTTGCCTCAGGTTTTCCTCATGTTTTCGATGGGAAATCGAGGTTTAACTTGTGGAAGAAAGGGGCCTCGTTCCTTATTCAGGGTTCCTTAGGTCAACGCCCCGACTGTAGTCCAAAAGTAGGGAGTCCGGGGACGATTCTATTTTTTTTGTACATTTTTGAATAGTTCTGGGAGGGGCTATTTTTAAGTTTTCGTCCAACATCCCCCTGTAGGGGGACATGCCCGACCTAGCGCTGCTGCGCGGCACCCAGGGCGGACCTTCGCGTTCGAGGTCGAACGCCGCCGGTGGCCCAGAGTTGTCGTCCTCGGCGGCGAGCGACGGGGGGGGGATGAGAAGGAGAAGGCTTTCTCCGAAGGCGGCGGGACTTCTCAGTAGCCCTCGTCGATGAGTTTTTTGTTGTCTTTGGGAAGGTTTAGAGAACTTCTCAGAAGGCGGGGGGACTTCCGAACCTTCTGAGAGGGCCTTCTCATTCTCATTTCCCCCCCTCGCTCGCCGCCGATGTCCACTATGGAACGATCAGGCGATTGAGAAGCCACCCATCGCTCAAGGTTCCACGATCAACTAACTCTAGGCCTCCCAGATGTGGTCCGAGTAGATGGGGTCGGAGGATTGCGCCGCATCGCCGATGCATCGTCGTTGCGGCTCGATGTGGAGCCCGATTTGCTTCACGTCAACGTCGCCGATGCATCGCCGACGTCGCCGATGCATCGCCGATGCATTGCCGATGCATCGCCGATGCATCGGCGATGCGGCGCGCTCCTCCGACACCATCTAATGACTCGGACCCCATCTAGGGGGCTTCTAGTGGAACGACCTTGCGAGTGAGAATTCGCCCATCGCACAAGTTTCAACGATCCACGCGGTGTGGGACGCCAGCGCCAGGGTTTTCACGACACGAACCTGCCGCATGGAGATAACCTCCTCGGCGCGGAAGGACTTCCGCCCGGACGAGATCACCTATAACACGCTTTTAGACGGCTGCGCGCGCTACGGCCTGTTCGAGCGCGGCATGGATCTGTTGCGCGACATGGAGGACGTCAGGGGCAACGTCAGGGGGGATGGGCTCCCCCTCCTCTTCCTCTTTCTCCTCCTCCTCCTCCTCCCTCCTCCTCCCTCCTCCTCCTCCTCCTCCTCCTCCTCCTCCTCCTCCACCTCGTGCGCGCACTCGAGATCAAGCTGGCCCAGCAGCGCACTGACCTCGACAGCACGCTTCAAGAACTGGATCTGTATGATGCAGAATACAAGGTGGCGATCTCGGAACTTCATCTGTCAGTGTCCAAGCAGGCCGTGCGGAAGCAGCTGCACCTTCATCACTGCCGACGTTCCGCCTGCAGGACATCCTGGACGGCAAGCTCACATCCATCCTTGTGGACGACGGCGACATGTTCGGCCTCGGCGAGTTCCAGGAGCTCTCCTCCGAGGATGCCAAGGAAGCCGAGACTCGCAAGCAGCAGCTGTCCGAGCAGATCACGTCGCTCACGACGCAGTTGTTCGGCGAAGCCCAGACGAAGCGCAACGCGCTCAAGGAGAGCCACCAGGAACAGAAGCAGAGATTGACGGAGAAGAAGCGCTAAGTTGGATCTGGTGATGCAGCTGCTGAACCTGTTCGACCCCGTTCCTCTGAGCCGACGCCTGGTTCTACCTCGTCAGCCTCGGCGCCTGCGGGGAAGGCACCGCCAGCTCAGCCAGCGACTCTTGCACAACCGCCTGCGAACGTTCGCGAGCAGGCTCGTTTGGCAGTGTCGCGGGCGGCGGTGCCTCCCAAGACGTCGGCTGCAGCACCAGCAGCAGGCCCGCACGCCAAGAGTGGGCTGTTATCCTAGCTGCGATTGTGCCGGCCGGTGTCTTCCCCCCCACCCTGGACTTCGGACCTCCTGCCCAGTTTTGGATGTCCCATTGGAGCGTGTCTGTGCATCAACTTCGGGACCGAGGAGATTTTGATACAACGGAATCGATTGCATTGTCTATAGTGGCGGCTAACGGCAAATCCTGGTCCTCCATCGCTAGATATTTGACGGTCACCTCGGCGCACACTGTTCTGGTCCAGGAACACAAGCTGGTGTGGGACGAGGAGCTCAGGAAGGCTTCGTTCTGGTGCGTTCGAAATGGTTGGAAAGCTCGTTTCGAACCTGGCACGAAGGGTCCAGGAGGGGTGCCTACGGCTGGGGTTGGGGTCCTGGTCCGGTCCTTCCTGGGGGTGCACCACCCCGATTTTGGTTTCACGATCAAAACACATCGGGCCGTCCGAGCCCTGGTCCACCTCCCAGGTCAAGCCTCACTTTTTCGTGTCAGCGCTTACCTGCAGGATTGTGTCGGCCAAAATCCCATCAGTCGGAAGATTCTGGCATTGTTGGCGGCGCGCGTCAAGAGCCTAACGGTCCCGTTCATTGCCGGAGCTGACTTCAACGTCGAGCCGGCTGCGAGTGCAGACTCGTCCTTTCCCAAGCGGCTAGGTGCCGACATTGTGTACCCCACCGACGTTGTAGGAACTTGTCGCAGCACAGGGGGCGTGAAGATGCACGACTATTTCCTGTGTTGCTCCCGCTTTGCGAAGGCCATCAAGAGCGTGAAGGTAGTAAGCGATTCGGAGTTGGCGACCCACGACCCCGTTCCCTTACTTTCCATCCCTCGTTGGCCTTCCTCAAAGCTCTCACCTTTCGTCGACCCCCCCCCGCCGACCCAGCGACCTTGTGGGCCCTGCCCCGAACCCCCCCGAAAGTGGGATTTTGTCGGCAGATTGGCTTCCCGAGCCCTTGCTACGGCCGAGAATGGTAATTTGCGTCAGACTCAATATAACCTTGATGCCCTTTACAAATCGTGGGCCAACGCGGCCGAACAGGAGCTCGAAGGCGCGTGCCAGCGCAGTCTCGCACCGCGGCAGCCGTGGACGACAGGCGCAGCCTCGCTGGGTCAGCGTTTTGCCGCCCGGCCATGCCACCATGGACGGCGTCTCTTCGACGTCCCGCCTGGCTTCGCAGCTCCGCTGGCTTAGCAAGCATGTCAGGCTGTGGCTTCAGCTGCGCACCATTGGTGGTCAGCCCGAGCCGCAGCCTTCCCCCCTCCTTTTTTGCCTGTAGCGGTATCGACGAACATATGAGTCCAGGAAGCGTCGAGCACGGCTCGGCGAGGAGCAGCCATCTGGTCAAGACGGCTGCTGAGTTGTTTAACCCTCCTGTCAGGCTTGGCGAGTGAAGTGGCGAGGCCCACAACTTGCCTGTGCGCTGCCAGGATGTCGCGTCGCGTGGCCCGCCTGTTTCCCTTGGGGCTGTTTCGGGGAACCTGAGCACGCCCTTGATTCTGTCTCTCTTGCCCAGGTTGCGGCCGAGAGCGAATCCGGAAACGATGATCATAGGAAATGGGTCGAGCGGTTGTTCGCTAACGTTGAGGCGGGGGCCTGTCGCGCGCGCGGGGCTGTTGGGGGGGGCCCTCGCTTGGGCCCCCTCCACCACCCTCAGCGCGAAAGGGGTGGTGATTTCGGATCCTCAGACTCGTTGTTTCTGGGTGTGCGAAATTTTCTCATGTCTGGCATGCAGAGGACGTGCAGGGCCACCCACCACCCAGGGGGAAGTTTGACGTCCTCGACCCTCTACCAGAGCATACACCTGAGGGCCTTCGCCGCGCCCCCAGGTCCTTCCCCAAACATGCAGCGGCCTCGGTTGACGGAATTCATGTGAGCAGCTTCCAGCACCTCTCGGGTCATGCGTTGATCGCGGTTTCCAGGTTGATCTCGACGATCGAACGATCTGGTCTGGTCCCGATGCAGATGGGGGTGTTGCTGTTGATCATGACTGCCCAACCCGACGGTGGCTATCGGCCGATTGGAGTGTTCGTGTCGGTCTATCGTCTTTGGGCTCGCGCCCGAAGGGGCCATGCTCGTAGGTGTGAGGTTGCTAACGGTTGGGGGCCCTTTGCAGCAGGCTCTTTCGCCTCGAGTGTGGACGCAGTCTGGCGGCAGTGCGTAGGAGCGAGCAAGCGGTCTGCTCCGAATTGTGCTCGGGCTCACCTCCTGAAGTTTTGCGAGTCGGTTGACCTCGACTTATTGCTTCAGCGCTGTCGTCAGCACGTTTTCCTAATGTAGATTGCCGAAGTTTGCGATGCAGCGCGCCGCGCCTGCCGCTACGTGGCCATGAGTTGCAGGGTCGCGGGGCCCAAGGTCGCACGGCGCGGCATATTGGCGGGCTGCGGGTTCGCGACCACGCTTATCCGAGCCTCAGCTTAGCGGCCCTAGATTGCCTCCGCTCGCCAAGATCGGTCTCCCTTCGTAGATTCCTTCTTATAGTTTTACAAGCCCGGGCGGGCCCCCCCCCAGACAAAAAACCGGACTCCCGGGTTCTGGGGCTTTGGGGCCCTTCCGGACGGGCCTCGAAGCGGCCGCCCGGGCTTCGCACGGCGTTGAGCCAAGCCTCCCCAGCGCGCCTAGGGCGATCAGGGGGGTCATCGGAGACGTCCCAGAGACCCCCCAGACAGCGCGAGAGCGCTCCAAGAGTGACCAGCGCGACCTCAAGATGGCCCAGGAGGCCTCCAGGACGTCCCCAAAGAGTCCTCCAAGAGCACTCTCAATAATGCCCCAAGAGGCACCAATATTTGATTCCTGTTGGTGTTTGGTGAATTTTGGGGTTCTCCTCTTCTCGCCTTCCCGACGCTCCAAGACGGCGGTCTTCCAGGCGTCCAAGGCCGCCTGGGGGGCTCCCAAATCGCCCCGCGACCGTCCGAGAGGGCGCCCAGGCAGTCCAAGAGAGCCCCAAAACGGCACAACACGGGTCCAAGATGGCCCTCAGAGAGCCCCATGGCGGCCCAAGATTGCCCCGAGACGCCCTCCTAAGCATTCCAAATCGTGGCCCGGTCGTGCAGGGACACCGCGGTTGGAGGCAGGGCGGCCCGAGGAAGCCCCCAGAGGCCCACGGAATGCGCCCAGGAGGCCTCCAGAAGGCCTTAAGAAAGCCTGGAACATTTTTTTGCGAGAGGCCCCCAGAGGCTCTTCAAGGAGGAGCCCCCGCAAAGAAAGAGCTGAGGAGCATGGGGGGAATGCGCAGGGCATGGCGAACATGAGGAAACATAAGTATGGAGGAGGATGCCGCATAACATTATCATAGCGGCGATGCCGGAAAAAAGCAACAAGAAGCTATCGCTAAATTGTCGACTTGACCTTCCTGCTATTCCGCCTGCGCATGAAACTTCAAAGACCAAGGTGCATGGCGCGAAGCGTTGCACCTGATCGTGCCGAGGGTGTGCCAAGGGCCTTTTAGATTGCAGGCGGCCATCGAGCCTGATCTTGGTTGTGCGATCGCTGTCAGGAAGGCAGCCGCCATCTCCTCGGTGCCCGCCGTTGCTAAGGCCGTGCGCCAAGGTCTCGGCGCCGTCGGCGGCGCGTCGTGCGACTCCGCTGCGGACCTCGGCGTCGACGATGCGGCCGGTAAGCCGCGTCGCGTCGCCCGTCGGGGGATGCAGTTTCAGCAGAAGAGGGAGCGTCTTGGTCGTCATAAGTAGTCCCTCGGTCGCCGCGCCAAGCAGGTCTTCGCTTCAGGTGCCATGGCCAGTCTCATTTATGGATTCGAGGTGCACGGCACCTCGGACTACGAACTCGCCGCCGTCAGGAGAGCCCTGGGTGGATTTTTGCCGCCCTCCGCTGGATAGAGATCACTCGCTGCAGCTTTGCTATTTGCCGCCGGCTCCACTTGGCATGCGTCGGTCGCCCCTATTGCGAGGTGGTCCAAGGAGACTTGGGCCAGCCTCGTTGGGGCCTGCGAGCGTGTCCTCTTGTTGGCCGCCCTCAGGAGTGCCTGGGATGCGGGTTTCTCGGGGCCCGCCCGTCGCGGGGGAAAATCCGCGTGCCCGCGGGGGCCCTTCGGCTCTCGGCGGGGCGTCCGGGGTCGAAGATGGCGAGCTTCAGCGTGCTTGTTGATGATTTCGGGGTTGAAGTGCCCCTCGCCCTGATCTCGCCCCCCCTCCTTAAACGTCCCCTCCGTGCGGCCGTGCTCCGCCATCTGGAGAGGGATAATAGGGAATCCCTGGGGCTTGATTGGAGGGTTTGTTTCGA